ATATTAATTTAGATCTTAAAGGGATAGAATAGGGTGGTATAGACTTGAATCCTCTGGATCAGGGTAGGGACAGCCGAGGGCCCTTGCGAACATGGCAATGAACCCTTGGGTTCAGCAAGATGCTGTTAATTCCTTGAGTGCCTGAGTTGCTGTTTACTGCCCAAGAAAAGTACTGCTCCAAGGAGTTCGCAGTTAATTAATTTAGAATAATATGATATTATTAAGCCGGTCACGGTAGCCGAGCGGTCTAAGGCATGCACTGTCTTCGCTCGCTCGGAAGCCGGGATCGTGGGTTCGGATCCCACTTAGGGCATGGATGTTTAGTTTTGTGTGCGTTTTTCTGTGTTTGTGTATAGGTAGAGGCCTTGCGACGAGCTGATCACCCGCCCAAGGAGTCCTACCGAATGTGTAAGATCTAGAAAAACCGAAGTGAAAGGAGAAGTTCATGGAGGTAGGCCTAGGCCCACTGGGGCTAGGGTGCCAAGGGGGAAAAAAAGGACCATTCGAGTTACATGGATTGGAATGAAGAACCTTCTGCCTCGGTAGTTTTTATTCCTAATACGTATAGCTAGGAAACCTCGGGAATACGCTTCGAGTCTGTGCCGATGGTGACCATCATAACTGAGGTTTATCACGATTTACACAGTCGTCCTGGCACTGTCAAATACTGCTGGGCTGCTTCCTTCCATAGCGTGCATTATGGAGGTCCTGACAAGGGCCTGTCCCAACAACAGTCCCTGTGTTACACCAAATGAACGAATCACACGTTAATTAACCCTTGTTTCCCTGTTGATCTCTAACTACGGTTCTGAACGCCGTTCCTTCACATGCATAAGGTACCGGGTTAAAATCTCAGCCCGTAAACTTGATATCCTGATTCGAATTCTTTCTTATTTTCTTCAGACCCTACAGGAAAATGCCGAAGTAGTATCTCAAATTACGTCACTACGGCTTCTGTCTTCCTGCAGACTAACTAACTAACGAACTAACTAACTCCATCGGGCTGAGTTCTTGAGAAGCCAGCAGCTACTCGTCTAATCGATTTCCCATAATTTTATCAAACCCGCAGGTTCATTACCATGTACACAAGAGCCCGCCACTTGTCCCTATCCTGGACCAGATTAATCCAATCCGTACCATACTTGTACAATTCTATTTCTCTAAGATAAAATTGAGTACTCTCCTCCCACCTACTTGTAGGTATTCCTAATAGTCACTTTCCTTCTGGCTTTCCCCGAAACAGCTGCCTTCCTCATACTTTGCATTTATTTCTTCATTAGCCACCTTAGTCAGCCGTACTGCGTACTGCTAACACAGTTACACTGACGCAAATTATTGTCTTGTTATCCCCACTCCTCGTAACTTGCCTCTCCTCTTGCGCAGACTGGAAACCACCGTCAGGTAGTAGGACCGTAGAGACATTTGGAGTAGGAATGAATGTTGGTCGGTGCGTGGGTGTGAATTCAGTGTGGTTGAGTGCCCCCTCCTCCCATTGATAATAAGTACTTTACATAATAATGACGTTGTAAAAGAAATCATGAAGTTATGAATGAGTGCTCATTGATTAATTACTTTGACTGGCGTGGTTCCACAAGTGACTCAACTAGTCCTTAGCGAACAAACTGGAGTTTAAATTAACTTCAATCAAATGACAAGTGGTTCACATGTCCTCCTAGACATTTTTCTTTCTTCAGACTTTACTCTGTGAGTTTATCTGAGAAACTGCACGTAATTAAACTGAACAATTTTACATTATTAAACTCTGATGATAATTGTCAGCAACTTAACAGAAGAAACGTACTTTATAATGTATTATTTCCTGAAACTGGGGGGCTCAATACAATGTAAAGATTACTGTGAAGTGTGATATGTCGCCGTGTAGTCTGGTAGATACACTCCATCTACTGTAAAGTTGAAATTCTCACAGCGCTGGATGAGTTTTATTATCTGTTATATAATGCTGTGTAGTCCGTTGGAAGTTAACTGACGCTTGCCTCCATCTTCAGGATCAAAGAGTAAGCAAAACAAGAAAAGAAAAAAGAACATTATGAATCATACAGCAAGCATAGATTCCTGCTGGTTTCATGCTTGGCTTACTCCTCTCTAACTGGCTACAGGTCGTTATATCCAACAAGATGTCAGCATTGAGACAGTATTGTTGATTATAGAATGGTTAAGGAATATTGTGACATGTAGACCCATTGCTAGGGAACGCCTAGGTAAACACATTCCGGCGGCAACAAATACACTGACAGCAATCGGATAACTTCCGTTGCTATGCAACGGCGCTGTAACTACAACTACACACGAAACGGTATTTTCTATGGGTCCGCCTCGAGACTATGTAAGTAGTTCAGAACAGAATAAAATGACTACAAGTGTTCAGTTGAAAAAAAATACTGGTCGTGATTCTCAAGGGGCTTGGCATCAAGACATACTGATTGGAGGTAAACAGCCAGTCGTGAAGTAACTCTGACTCTGACTCTGACTCTGACTCTGACCTGACTCAAATGAGAATGACAATTTAAGGAGTACAAAAGAGTACAACGTAGTACAATGGAGTAGTTCAGTTCCGTTCAGTTTAATTCGGTTGAGAATGAGTTCTATACGGGAGGCTGTGAAGAAGAGAGTTCATTGTCCGCTGAGCATTCTGTTGATAACATTTAGGTATAAATATGATAAAATCTGAAGAATGGCACACAGATAGCACGATAATTGTATATGATGTGGCCGAGAGAGATTGAACTTGCATTGCTATCCTTCGCGCGAAGTGTTGCTTGGATCTCATGAAGTGTCAGGGTAGACTGTGTGAGATCCATGACGGACGAGTGCCTGAAACATGACTTTCTGTCCAAGTACTTCCGGGTCTCTTGTTAATTGCCACTCCATCGTGCTCAGTAGCCGCCAGTCATCGCCGCTGGCGCGAGACAGACCCGCTAAGCCAATTCCTTGTGACACCCTGGAATTCAACCGTGACCCGGTGTTGGTGACATTGCAAACAGCGAAGTTAGCTTGAAATTGTCTTCTTCACTTAACTGGGATACACGTACTTTGGTTTGTGACGTCATGTGGTCGCGTAAGTACGGTACATACCAGCCTACAGGAAGAAAATGTTGCCCCCATGTTTATTGCAAGTTTCGCCGAAAAGTTTGTAACCACTTATCACACACTACAAAAAAAAAAAAAAACTCCATGGTTCTAGTCCACAAGCGAACTACGAGTATACCGACCGAGCGGCCGCCGCTTGTCGGCGAAGTTAGTGCCAACTTTAGCGGATAGATGTTATCGCGTGGTCAGCGCAACGAATCCTGGTTTTCTAGACCGAAGCCTCTATTTCCTTGAAATAGCTCCTCAATTATCCTCACGAGGCTGAGCGGACCCCGTTCCAGATCCACAACTTCTCAGAAAATCTGGTAGCGCCGAGAATCGAACCCGGACCTCTGGATCTGTAGCCAGGAACTCTGACCACTAGACCACAGAGGCAGTCTAGCACATACTAAACTGTGTCAAGATCCAGAAGACCAAGATCTAAATTTTCATAGACGAAAAATTCTAAATCTCATATTCAGTGCTTGTGGTTGCACCTTTAAGGTTTGCCCACACACTTAGCACGCTGTATTTCCTGTGACGTCAGGAATCGAAAGATATACTCCAGTGTAGTAGGTATATTTCGAAACACTTCCTCATGTTTTCATGCCTCATTGATCTTTATTCTTATTTATTTCAGATAAATACGCATGGCACTGGAAGACTAACCATTTTGCAGATATCATACTCCATTTTCCAGAAGATCTTCTTCTTCTTCAACACCCTTAACTTTGTAGGACCAGATTTTTAAACCCTGTCCCTGTGAATTCCGGAGCCAAAATAGCTCAGCCTATATAGTGACGGGCCGTGGGATGGACGGCCGAGTTTCGGTTCCCTGCAGGGGAGAAAGAAGGTGAAGAATGGTGGAGCTATACCTCCACTCTCCATACATCTTTAGGGCACAGTGCTTAATTTGTTAAGTACAGGGACAAATTTACATTTATCTTACCTTCAGAAGAATTCCAAGATGGTCCTGGTCTATCCATCGTCGTTTTGTTCGTCCTGGCTCTTGTCTTCCAGTCGATAACGGAATATCGGTCGTGGAGGGTGATACCCCTCTGTTCCTGTATCGAGTAGTCCGTTCGGCGGGCCCACATTTAAATATGGGACCTCTCGGATTCGAAGCAGAAGTGCTATCCACCCAACCGGGACGTTCAGTACCAATACAAAATTAAAAATAAGGGTAAAATTATCCCTGGGTCTGAGTACACGACGTGAAACCGAACAGGCTGGTCTGGACTTGTGTTTGGAGGTGCTCAGTTCAAATCTTTGTAGGGGCACCGGCTGTTCTGACAGTTTCGTCAGGGCTTTCCTCAATCCATCCATACAAGTATCGAGTTAGTACCTCAATTAGGCAACGACCACTTCCTTCCAAATCCTTTCCAATTCATCGTCGCTCCTGTCATCCTACCGCCCGACGCAGTGTATAGTCTCGATACTGAAACCGTCGTTAAATAACCTACGAAAACCAAAACATCATGAAAACGGAGGGAGAGTGGCGGTATAGCTCCACGTATTCTTGACCTTGGTGCTATATGGAGATGAGCGGTAAGCATGACGAACCTACCGATTTATCCCCAAGGAAAGATGTCCATTAGGCTCCAGAGCCAATCAGGTCGCTGTGAAAACAAACATATTTCTGGGCCCTGACGTGTAATGAACTCCAGTTCCCATGAACATGTTTTCACCGCGTATAAAAATGATATTAATTACGTATCTGTTTTTGTCAGACGGCACATTACTACGCCTGTGGCATGGCAGTGTGGTTGTACATCTGTCGACATTGTGCCTTGGTCCTTTTGGATTCGGCAACTGGTACAATAAAATGAACGAGGCGGACCTTGCAAGAGAGGGGGTTGCCCCCTGCCCCACTGCTGCTGTGTTCTCCACAACCTGTGCTGTCAACCGGTTCGGCATGTACTGCCCGCAGTTGTTGGTGGAAAGCTGTGGGGTTTAGCTGTTGGGTATAGCTCATTTGTCTGCCTGCTCTGCGTTGAGAAGATGGCCCTCGTTTTGAACAAGAAGTACAAACTGGCTTCTAGCGAGAACTTCGATGAAGTCATGAAAGCTCTAGGTAAAGATGTTATTACGTTTATATATTCTGTTTAGTATTAGTATTTGTAGAAGTCTAGGTGCACGCTGTAGCGTAAGGACGCTATGCTACAAGACGGAAGGTCGCAGGGTTCGAGTCACGATGAGGTGGATTTTTTTTTTTCAGTTTATCTAATCCTTCCAGCCGCACTATGTTTGGGTAGACTCAGCCTCCAACAGAAATGAGTATCAGAAATCTTCCTGGGGGGTTAAGGGCGGCTGGCGCATAAGGTTGACAACCTTACCGCCATCTGTGAACCTCGACGTCTCACAACCCTATGGGCATTCACGACCTGTTTTTGGGATAGTTTTACCTTTTTATTACTTCTAGAGTTCTTCGGTGTACAGATTGGGTTCTAGAGAGAACCTCGGAAGAAATCATGAAAGCTCTCTGTAAATATTTCACGACATTTATATTTTATGTCTAATATTGTTACAAAGACTTCTCCGGTGTGGTAAAAATTAGCTTCCAGCGAGAACTTGGATGAAGTATTGAAAGCTCGAGGAAAATATTTTATTACATTTATATTTTCTGTTTAGTGTTATTACTTATAGAATTTTCTGCACGGTATTCTGGGTTGTAACGCTGTGTATTTCGGATAAAGCCCGACGTTTCGGAGGACACGTGCCAACATTTGCAGTGTCGAAGGGTAAGCCGAACAAGAAACTTGGAGACGCAGGCGGCAAGCTGAGCATGCTGAAGTTTGAGGCGATATGCTACTCCGAAACGTCGGGGCCTCACTGAACTACATGGCGTTACAACCCAGGAGGTCGTACTCCTGATAGTTACAGCCACGAGAACCTCAAATCCAAAATGGTATGTGGGAAGTTTTAGAGTTTTTGCAAGGTAGTATGTGATTAAATTGTCGAATTTAACCTACAACTGAATGGAAACAAGCAGTTTTGTAATAGAGGTGCTAAGAGTCTGGCCGGTGACGATAGCCGAGCGGTCTAAGGCATGTACTGGTCTGCACTGGCTTTGAAGCCGGGATCGTTAATTTGAATCTCATACAATGCATGGATGTTTGGAGTGTGTCTGCGTTTATTCTGTGTTTGTGTTGTCCTGTGTTTAGGTAGAAGCCTTGCGACGAGCTGATCACCCGTCCAAGGAGTCCTACAATCAATAAAAATGAAAAACAACCGCGACACCGTAAAGGTATAAGAGGAACGCATTAAGTTAAGCTAAAAGTCTGTATGGCCTTACTTGATTTTAATTCTAACATGAAATAGATGTGTTATATGCCTTTTAAAATAAGCCTTTATAGAAGCAGGAATTTAATTTTTTTTATTGCTAGTGGGGTGGGACTAAGTCCCATGCACTGCGGCCACTTCTGGCCTATTGTACCAGCCCCAGATGATAGGTGAGGGTGATTGTGGAGCAATTGGTGGAATGAAGATTGGCAGGGGAAACCGAAGTACTCGGAGAAAACCTGCCCCAGCGCCACTTTGTCCACCATAAATCCACTTGACCAGACCCCGGGATCGAAACCGGGCCAGTGGGAAGCCAGCGACTAACCGCTTGAGCTATGGAGCGGCCCAGTAACTTAGTTAATTTCGACAACAAATAAATTTTGTTTTTAATCTCACGTGTACAGAAGAATGCAATACGAAGCTTTACAGCTATTTCGTTATATAAGAAAAGTGTGAATCATGGGATAGCAGCTTGTTTAGAGCAGAGTAGTAGTAACAGCAGTTCTCTCTTAAAGAAGTGTAAAATTATGCTGAAATTCCCGTCGACATGGAGTGTGAAATTTTATTGGGAAAAGTACAGATATATTCCATATGCATTCTTTGCGATATTCCGCGTCATTGGATTTGATATTTATTATTACACATATAGTACTCATCTTGTACAGGTAGTTTATCACACTGCGCATGTCACTCAGTTACACAGAAAATTATTTTTCCTACTGTTACGTTTAATGTTTATCATTTCAAGAAGTGTTTTGAATAAAAGCTGAAAATGAAGAATGCCGTCTTCTCGGATGTGGCACTGTGTGGATCTTGTGTGAACCGACGTTTCGGAGGAATATATCGCCTCCATCTTCAGGGTAGGAAAATCTGCGAGCTAGGAATCAACGTGAGCAGGTGGCCGCAGACCGAACCGACGTTTAGAAGGAACGTATCGCCTCCATCTTCAGGGTAGAAAAATCCGCGAGCGAGGAACCAGCGTGAGCATGCGGCTGATTCTTCGCTCTCGGATTTTTCTACCCTGAAGATGGAGGCGTTACGTTTCTCCAAAACGTCTGTTCACACAAGATCTACACTGCGCCACATCCAAGAAGACTGCATTCTTCATAGTCACCGCCGTGAAAAACTCAGATCTTACAAAAGCTGTAAATATTGATGATGTGGAAACTGCGTGACATATGCAAATTTTCTGTCCAGTGTGGACCGTTTATTTTAGGAAAATTATTAGATCTGATCAGCATGTAAATAGATATTGGAAATTTACAGTCATACTTCGGACTTTCGACGTAATGCTTTTCCGAAAACGGGCGTAAGTCGAATTCATTATAAGGCTGAAAACCCACTGACGCGACTAGCCGCGTGCGGCTAGCCGCTCTTTGTCGCGCGCGTCCGTTAGTTGTACATATTAGGCGTGCGACAGCTCTGCCGCGTGTGTGCCGCATTCCAAAACTTAACCGCGCGCGGCTCATAAAAGCAATACAAATAACGGTCGCGAGCGACAACACTCGACAAACCGCGCGCGGCTTGTCGCGTCAGTGGGTTTTCAGCCTAACATGGGACGTCTAGAGTTCAGTTGCAGGAGCTCAAAGCACATACAACTGTTTCAACATTTTACCTCCACTATTCTATAATTTTATTGCTTTTTATAAAACCGGCGCAGGAATAACGCAGTGGGTATAGCGACTGGCTACAGGCTGGACAGCCGAGGGCTCCGAGTTCGAGTCCTGATAGGGGCAAGATTTGTCTCCTCTCCACGTCTTTCATACCGGTTAGAGGCGTCACTCAGTCTCCTATCCAATGGGAAAGGGGAGGGGGGGCTCTCAGCTTCCGTGGTGTTAAGCTGACCACTCACTTCTGACTAGTGCCGAGGTCACGAATACGTGGATTTGTACATCCTACTTCCCCATACGTCTTCGTGGCATAGTGCTCAGTTAACTGATAACAGAGAACTTTACTTTTTTACAAAATCAATAAGCAGACATGTAAGACATGGTATTAAACATTTAAACTGGTAAAAATATTACATATCCGTAAGTTAATTATGTATTTTACCTGCGATCATTGTACGATTCATGCCACCAGAGTGATTACGATATTGCCTAAGTCTGAAATTCGAGTTTCGAGTTGTAAGCCCGAAAGTTCGGAGCGTTAATTCTGATGGGTGTTAGTAGGATCGATAGGTCGAGGTACAGCTGTATATTCTCTACAAATTCTTTCCTTTACAGTGACCGCGCGGTCTAAGACAAGAAATGTCTTCGCCCGCTGAAACACTGGGATCATGGGTTTGAATACCGCTCGATGCATGATGTCCGCGTTTCTTCTGGGTTTGTGTAGGTAGAGGCCTTGTGACAGGGATGATCCCACGTTCAAGGAGTTCTACCCTCTGTGTAGTGGATCCATAATTCCAGAGTAATTCTGATGGGAAATAGGACAGAGAGAATAATACGAAAAGTAGAAGAAGAGGAAGAAGGAGAAGTTTCTTTTCCGTAGATTTCTTTCTCCCAAAAGTAAAGGTAAAGGTGAAGTCGTTGTGCTTAATTAATTAAGCACTTAAGCTTGAAGACATATGGGGGAGTGTCGCGGTTTCGCCGGACCTGGTTTGCAGATTTTTGGATCCCATTAGTGGGCCCATGCCTGTTCGATGCCTCCCTCTTCCCCCCCCCCAGTTTCATACTCCGATACCGATACTATGGACAGGATTTCCCCGATTACCGTGGAATTCGATACGAACAGAATGCCACTGGAGGACAACATAAACACGGTGCTTCAAATTCCCTCTTATCGGAACAATAATGACGCCTTTCGTTCTATGTTTTGTGTTTCTTTACTGGATGTTTGTGATTTGTATACCACACAGTGGAACCTACCCCAGCGCTACTTTGTCCACCACAAATCCCACTTGACCGGACTCGGGTTTGAACCCCCGGCCGCGGTGGGAAGCCAGAGACTAACCGCTTGAGCTATGGCGCGGCCTTTTGCTGTGGGTATGTTATGTACTTTACGTAAATAAGTAGTCACTAACTCTGAACGTACAGTTAACTGGATAATGGTGAATAATAAACTGTAAGGGGTGCGTAAGGAAGTGATCTTGGCGTGATTTAAAATAGTCTGTTATCCTGAAATTTTGCTAGAGGGAGCGGGAAACCCATCCAGAACTTCAACCAGAACAGTAAGTATCACGGACGCGATTCGAACCAGGCCTCTCATGAACAGAAATTAGAAATATTGCCGTTTGAGCCAACTTGCTCACTCGTTGGTGTGATTTGGCAACGTGGCTGTAGTGTAGATAGTTCCAAGTTCTGTTATCAGCGTTAGAACGAGTTTTCATGATCCTTGCTGTTGCATATGCATAGATAGAACAATGTGCCAGGGAGAAACCTTATCGTTGTGATTTTTTCATTGTCCTAACCAAGGAACTAACTCCATTGAGCTGAATCCTTAGAATTGGCCAATCGCTCAGCTACTCAAGAAGTTCTCAACGTTTTATGGAACTCGAAGACTCGTTACCGTGTTCACAAGAGCCCTCCACTGGACAACTCGTCCACGGTTACAATTGCAATCACTACAATCACCCTGACATAACTTCTTCCAGGTGATGCGACCCCACTCGCCCATCGTCTCTGATCACTCCTCTGACTGTCGCATTCTTCCCTCTTAAGGCGAGTCCACATTACTCGTGCTCGTGCTCCTGTGACTCGCTATGCTCACGAGTAATGTGGATGATATGATAAGTCACGAGACAAGCAAATTTTACATTTCTAATTTAAAAACTATAGCCAATAAATTAAAATA